CAGGGATGACTACATTACCAGTGGGGTAGCGCATGGGCATGGGCATCACATGGGTCAGGGCTTGAGTGCAAGGTCATCTGTGGCATGGGGAAGGCAGGATTGCCAGGGATTGGTGAAGGTGGAGACCCTGGGGAAGAACCACCTCCTTTCTTGGCATCTCCTAGCTCCAGCCAGGCCCTAGGTGACCCCATCCATGTGTAGATGGTGTCCTGTGTTTTTTGTTTGTTTGTTTGTTTGTTTTTTGTTTTTGTCAACCTGACACAAGCGAGGGTCATCTGAGAAGAGGGAACCTCAGCTGAGAAAATGTCTCCATCCGATGGGTCTGTGGGGCATATTCTTGATTAATGATTAATGTGGGAGGGCCCAGTCCACTGTGGGCTGTGCCACGCTAGAGCAGGTGGGCCTGGGTTCTTCTCTAAGACAGCAAGCTGAGCAAGCCACAGGGAAGCCAGCCAGTAAGCAGCACCCCTCCACGGCCTCTGCATCAGCTCCTGCCTCCACGTTCCTGCCTTGAGTTCCCACCCCAACTTCCCTCAGTGATGGACTGTGATCAGGATGTGTAAGCCGAATAAACCCTTTCCTTCCCATATTGCTGTAGGTCATGGTGTTTCATCACAGCAACAGAAACCAAACTAAGGCAGATGGTTTCAACGGAGGAGGGCCGAGACTACTCTAAAAGTCTGCCAAGTCTCCTTTGGGGCAAAGCTACCCCCCCAGCACCCAGAGGTCTAACACAACTTCTCTTCCCACTCAGTTCATACGGGTCAGAGTGTGGGGTGGAGAGCTGTGGGGGCGAGCATGCCCCCACCCCCCTCCAATTCCCTGGTCACATCCCATTTCTAGCCTGACCTGACAGGAGAACCTGATTCCTTCCTGACCCTGACGCAGAACTCAAGCCTGGCCTTCCCAGGTCTGAGACCTCGAGACCCACCTCTGTAACAATGCAGGGAGTGAGGGCAAGATAGACTTCAGATGCCCCGTGCCGGAGTTCTGTACCATGCCACCTATTAGGAAGGGTTTGACGTCTCTGCACAAGATGTCTCCGGCCAGGGTTGAAAGGAAGAAACAGGCAAGATGTCTGCTCGTTTATGTACGGTACCAGCAGATACTCACCAAGCAACTATTGCATGCCGGAAGCTGAAGCCTCTCTGTTCGCTCTCAACTCAGTTGAGTCCTGACACAAGAGAGCAATGTCCAGACAACCCTGTGGGGGTGCATGCAGAGAACCCGAGACAAGTACCAAGCCTGACAGGCTTCCCGGAAGAGGTGGCTGCTGTGCTGATCCTGGTGGGAGAGAGAAGTGGCACTGTACCTCGCCGCTCTGCAAGGAGGTGAAGGGGGTTTTCCCAGCATGCACCTCAGCACCTGCAGTCCCTGCTGCCTCTCCTGCTCCTGGGCAAAGCACTGTGCAAAAAGTGTCCTTGTGTGTCGGGGGGTGGGTGGCTAGAGAGACAGGTCACTGGTTAAAAGACGTTGCTGCTCTTCCAGAGGACTGGGGTTCAAGTCCCAGCACCTCCATGGTGGCTCACAACCATCTGTAACTTCAATCCCAGTGGACCTGACGCCCTCTCCTGGCCTCTGTGGTTACTGCATGCATGTGATGCACAGACATACATGGAGACAAAACACCTATACACATAAATAAAAAGTTATAGTGTCACTGTTTACCATCATTCCATCACCTTCAGTAAACAGTACAGCATGGTGGGTTAAACGTGTGAACTCTGTAGCTGGACCCTGGAGCCCAAGCCGTGGCTCCACCCCTTGCAGGCACCACGTGACCTGGGGTCCAAGTTGCTGAGTCCCCCTGTGCTCCAGTTTCCGTGCTGGTGAGAGTGGACTAACGCGTCTTACAGAAGCACTAAGAGGGTGCTTAGGGTCCACTCAATGGTGGCTCTGTCACTGTGTTCATAGAAAAGAAGACGGCCAGGGCCAGCCCACTCCTCCGTCTCGCGAATTTTTAAATTTCCTCTCGACATGGGATCTAGTGGGTTGGATTATCTCCCCACAGTCAAGCTGCTCTTCTGGTCTCCCAACACGTCTGTCTGTCCTGGATGGTAGTCCTGTGGAGGAGCATCTTTTGTGAGCTCCCCACCACTCTGTGAGGAGGGCAAGTCCCCTTTCACTGCCCTGAGGTACAACCAACTGCGCTTATCAGTTAACACCAACGTTAACGTGTGTGTGTGTGTGTGTGTGTGTGTGTGTGTGTGTGTGTGTGCGCGCGCAGGTAATGTGGAGACCGAACAACCTCGCTCGGGTAGTCCACCTCCTTTGACACAAAGTCTCTCATGAGCCTGAAGCTCACTGACTAGTTTAGACTGGCTAGCCAGCAAGCTCTGGTCTCTACTTCCCCGACACTGGGATTACAAGCGTGTGCCTCTCTGCCTGGCTGTCTCAATGAGTTCTGGGGAGTGGACTCAGGCCCTCACATCATCAATCACTTTACCAACTGACCTATCTCCCAAGAGCCCCAACCCAACCTATGAAACCATCATCAGTCACAAAGATGGCATATACTCCCACCCCACCCGCCATGATTTTCCCATGCTCCTTTGAAAGTCCTCTTTTCCTCCTACCGTAACTCCAGGTTAAGAGGAAGAAATCAAGGCACCACTGGAAAGGTTAAATAACCTGCCCAAAGGTCACCTGCCCCAGCCACTGGGCCACTCCTGCTGGCTGGTCATTTGGAAAAGCGGGTGCCTGGAGCCCTGCGTAAAGAGGCCTGGCAGGTTCTCCCTCGCCCAGCACCACCACTCAGCGTACGTGGGGTTGCAGGCTGACATGGGGACCAAGGGCAGATGACAGGCAGCAGAAGCTAAGGAGGCCAAGGTGCCCTAAAGGCGGGAGGCAATGCTGTGAAGCTGCTGGGCTTGTGGTGGGTGCTGGGCCAGCAAGCATGAGTGTGACTGTGTCTCTGTGACAGAGTGACTACTCAAGGCAGGGACACTGGCAGCTCCCTGAGCTGGGGGTGGAAGGTGTTAACTGGGAGAGTGCTGTGGGGGTGGGTGGCCTCTGGGCCTGGAACTGGGGGGACATTGGGAGGTAGTAAACACCCTGGTGACGGTGGCGTGGCGGGCGGTGGCAGTCTTGTGAGGATGCTGCAGGGCTGTGGAGGTTTGTGTGACTTTGCAGTTCAACAAATTCAAATTCAGCCCATGCTGGCATGGCAGCACCTGCTGTGTGCCAGGCAACAAGCAAGGAGAGGCAGACCCAGCTTGTAGCTGAAGGGTTCCCACTGTGGGCTTAAGAGCTTTTAACCTTGGGGCCGGGTGTGTGGCTGGGTGCTTTCTGATCATTCTGACCAGATTTAATCCACCCGATACTCCGTCCCCCACTTAAGGAACGTACAGCGAAGCGCATAAGGAAAATGACTTGCCCAAGGTGACCCAGCGACTCAATTAGACAGGAACTGAATCTAAGCTGCCAGGCTGCAGAGACCCAGTCCTTCATCACCATGCCTATGCCAGGCTGCAGATGTCTGGTTCTGGGGTTCAGGGGCTACGCTGCTCCTGGTCTTGGTCCTGGCCCTGAAGACATGCCCCTAAACACAGGTCACTGTGCTAAGGGGTGGGGCCGTGGATCGCCTCCAGTTCTTGCCAAGGGGCTGGATTTACAACCGGAGGGGCTGCCTGGCTCTCTGAGACCCCTTAAGCTGCAGTCCTCGCCTCGGGCCCTCCCCTGGCTCCTGCCCCCCTCCCGGCGCTGACTCGGGGCCAGGGGAGGAAAGGCTGTCTCCACCCACCTCTTGCACTCTCCCTTCTCCTTTATAAAGGCCGGAACAGCTGAAGGGTGGCAACTTCTCCTGCAGCCGGGAGCAGCCTGCCTGCCTCCCCCGCTGCCTCCCTGAGGGCTCCCCTCCGGCCGGCAGCGCCCATCTTTCTTTCTCCAGAGAGATATTTTGCGCACACACACATA